GTCGTGTTGATTTGTCATTTATTTCTGCCTCTCTAACCTCGTCACTACAATTTTGCACATTTTGATGAGAGCTCAACCTCATTGTTGAATTTTTAATGCTTATTGCGAACTTTAAGCCAAGTACCAATAATTGTCAAATGACTTCGAAATCGCTCTGCTTCGGTGTCAAGTGTCTCGCGTTGTCTTTGTCGCAGAGTTGGAGAGAATCGGGCACGTAGGCTTAGGCAGGTGATGCTTTGGTCTGTTGGGGCGCCTGACAAATTGACGGAGACACGAGAGTCGTTGATGCATGCCAAACGAATGACTAAGCGGAAGTTAGGGAAACCTTGTGTCTGGTTGCCATGTGAAGACCTTTTCCACCGCACATCTTTAAGGTCATTGAATGTCGCCGACAGTTAATCATCGAATTTCGCACTTATTATTTCTTACTGCCACACGTCAATCTTGACTTACCATGCGTCAAGTTTTGACAGACTGAGAAGCGAGCATTCTTATTTCGTCAAGTTGAGAGCGCGTAGATGTAGACGATGACATCCGATACTTCTACCACTCGGGACGGTGTCCGATTGCGTTTTCTAAATTACGCATTTGTCCTAGATTGGACACAGGAGATGGCCAACAGAAGCATGCGATTCTGGCGCCTCTTCTCAAACCGAGTGTAATGCCACATGCAGCGCATGCAGGTGCTGAGACGACCATGCACAGTTCCTCAGTCTCCTGGTAGCTGGCTGGCAGGCTGGCGGGCGCGTGGCTGCTAGTGATGGCTGGCGCGGGGAGCACCAGGGACGTCGCTAAGGGCGGAAGAAGCAATGAAATTTTTTACATCAGTGAATACCTCAATGGCTAGCGGTTAGTTTGATATTTGTCGTGCGCCTGACTGGTAGATTGGTCTTCTAGTCAAGCTTTATTCCATTCTCTCTCTCTTCCACCTCGAATACATGCATTTGGCACCACCTACTTCCCTCTTCGACCTGGTTGGAAGTCACAGGGTGCCACACTTTGCTTTGGCATTTGTGAGTAGTTGCGAGGCGTTGCATGATCTGTGGTGAATCACTGACAATAGCAGTATTTTCGGGTCCTCAAGCTGCAGCCCTCGACAATTAACAATGGCAAAACGGGAACAATATACGCGTTTCGAATGCCTCACAAAGGCTTCCTATAAGTTTTCAGACGCCATTTGAAATTTGACTCCAACTTCATTTCATTTTCCGTAGAGAAGCATCACTTAAACAAAGCTTTTGCGGTCGAACAACAAAAAATCTAAGCAGTAGCAACGGTTCTTCTCCCGATGTTATTATCTCGAGCCGCCGCATGACTCTTATTGCAGTGGCAAAGGACTACTAGCCACCAGGCTTATAATGTCCCTTCGCTAGAAGACCCATAATGTTAGATGTACACCTCAAGGGATGCTGCGTTCACAACTTATCGTGATGAGACTTGGTATTTCATTAACAAGTATTCCTACCGAATGGAACGAAAGCCTTTGCTGGTACTTCGACGCATTTATTTGGCTTGTCGAGGTACGACTTCCTTCGTCCGTTGCGTAGTACTCAAGCTGTTCGGTAAACAATCCCTACGCTAGTTTGCGACCCGCTTTCCTGCACTCAAAATCAACACAAGCACTTCGCTCCACTGCTTAGGGCGTACAATCGGTCGGAGGTAGGAATGGTACCAGTTGGGTGTTTTCGTGGCTTATGGAACATTATTTGGCGCAAAGAAATCCCTCCACCATGAAACCCACATCCAAAGTGCTCAGGTCCACTGCCTTTGCTAGATGCCACCACCCCAGTCTTGTGGATTCAACTTGACCGACCTTCACTGATCTGATGGCTTGGAGGTTGGCAATTTCCTTTCCCTCTTTCGATTAGTTAGTATCGAGTGAAGACCAGGTGGTGGTGATGGTCGCCCGAAGTCAAAATGCCAATTACTAAAGCCCTCGGTCTCACACCCACAAACCACTTGATTGGTCGCGTGCGTACATATTTGTGCACTCCATTTACAGCGAAAACTCATTGAGGTGGCACTTTCACCCATAAAATATATTCTGTAGACCTGCACTATGGAGTGGAAAACGAGTGCTTAACTTGCTACCACCGAATTGCGACAAGTAGGCAGGGGACGAAGAAACACCTACACGGATGACATGCTCGCATGTGTTCCAACATTGCCTCCCAGTTCGCGCGTTCCTCATAACATTCTGTGCAGTAGAGCCGCAATTCCGAGTCGCCTGTTGTTTGAACTGCAGCAGGAAACACGATTTTGCATTTGTTTGTGCAACAACGTTAAGTGTAGGGAAGAGA